CCTTTTTCTTTCTTTCTTTCTTTCTTTCTTTCTTTCTTTCTTTCTTTCTTTCTTTCTTTCTTTCTTTCTTTCTTTCTTTCTTTCTTTCTTTCTTTCTATACCTCCCTCCACCTTTTGTCCTGGTCTTTATTTTGCACATTTGTAAGTTAAGCACTGACTTTTTCATGTGTATAAAGAAGTAGAGATGAATTCAAAATTATAGCAATGATGAGGGAAAAGCGTATTAAATCAGAATTTAAACTCTGGTCCTGAGAAACCCAGAGGCATTTCTGAAACAGCTTTCCCATAGTTTCACCTCATGGTTAAACAGCCCTATAATTTTGGGAGCCGCCAAAAAGAAATTTTTATGTTAAAAATTTGTGGTAGCGATATAGTTATTATTTTTGTAATTTCTACATTGCAATACCACATATCAATTAAATGTTACAGAAGCAAAAATTAATAAGAATAATCATCATATATATGAAAAGTTTTGGAAGCCTTAAAATTACTCCTGAAATACAAGAAAGCATTTTACTTACACTATAACTAGACTCTTGGATGTCAGCAGCAGGGCATTTTACTAGCCTTCTCCTTTGAGAACAAGGATCACCTGGGGCATCATGAGGGTCAACGTAGATTTTTAACGATCAGCGGTTGTTGGTGCAGCTTGAAGCTTGCTAAGGCTTTGAGTAAATAAAAAAATAACTTTCAGATCGACCCCTTTCTCAGATGTTTCAAATTAATTCCATTAAGTCAGTTTCACTTTATCCACAATAATGTATACATGAATGCATATGAATACAATCCTTAGATTTCATTTATATATATATATATACACACACAGACATATGAGTTTTGCATCCTAAAATTTTGATCAAATGCCACAAATCCCTTTCAAATGAACCCACAACCAATTCTTGATTACCCTCATGATTGCAGCTTAGATATAGTGACAAGAGTTGGCCAGTGATCAGTTTTCAACCTCTTTCACACAACCTCAGTTTTGTTGCCTAGTTATTAAAAACACTGAACTTATAATAGAAGTTACCATTGTATGTCTGTAGTGTATCTAGGTGTTTATTAGTAATATGTATCAGAAATGTTCTAGACAAACTAAATGATAGAGTCATAGATATGCTTATAATTTTATTTCTTTTTCATCTTTTCATCTCTGTACACCTACTACATCTTTACTTTTGTCTCTGAACTCCCAAAAGATAGTAATAGTCCATGTCTACATACGATAATATAAGTGATATCAGAAGACAATGTTATCAACTGTTAAAATAGCTTATTTACATGGAACTGATTAAATGTGTATATTGTTTAGAAATATGCAATGTTATAATTAAAAGAATAATAAAGGAACCATTTTCCATTTCTTATTATTGATATAAATATGTGATGCTTGAAGTTTGAAAAAGATAAGTTTTTTGTTTGTTTTTGGGGGCTTTTTTTTTTTTTTTGGATTTTTGGAGACAGGGTTTCTCTGTGTAATTTTTGTGCCTATCCTTGATCTCACTCTGTAGATCAGGCTGGCCTCGAACTCACAGAGATCTGCCTGCCTCTGCCTCCCAAGTGCTGGGATTAAAGTGTGTGCCATCACCGCCCAGCTTTTGGGGTTTTGTTTGTTTGTTCGTTTTTGGTTTAAAAAGATAACTTTTATAGAAAACTTTAAAAGCTATTTAATATTCTATTGCTTCTATGATCAGAAGGTACATTATGTGTTTTTGTCCATGACATTATATAGAATCTCTTTTTATTTTAATTATTGTTGCTAATAACTAATGGCAGATAAACAATTATAATAATTACCCCTGTAAGTAGCTCCTACATAGAACATATACACTTTTTAAATAACTGTGTGATATTAACTTTGTGGTATAGCAACTTAAACCATTTACCTTAAGCAAATGTCACTCTCACCCCAAATGCCTTTCACACCATGAGATATGAAGTGTCCATCACTGCTCTAGTGATCTTCCCCAAGTTTCACAAACTAATTGATTCAAGAAAGATCTCAGGAAAACTCAAATGGTGGCTATTCTATAAAATACATGGCCAGTCTTCTTCAAAAGTATCATATCATGAAAATAAAGGAAGAGCAAAAGATTGTCACAGGTCATAGGAGATGAAGGCAAAATGATGACTCAATGACTCAATGTGTGAGATTTTCTGCATATGCAGGGAAAGTTCATTAGTGGAAAATCTGTAGAAATCTTAACAAAAGCTGCAATTTAGTCAATAGTATCATTCAAATGCCCATCTGTTAGCTTTCATAAATTAAAAGAAGTTAACTCCCAGGGAAGTTGAGTGAAGAATAAGGAGGACTATCCTGCTGTTTTTGCAACTATTTCATAATTGCTAAAATTAGCTCAAAATAGAATGCTTATCTAAAAGTGACTTGTAGGAACTGGGAGCTGGCTCAGTTGGCAATATGGCAAAGAACTTGCTGTGCCAGTATGGTGATATGAGGAGCTGAGTTCAGTTCCCCAGAACCCACATTTTTAAAAAGTTAAGCAAGGTGGTAATGATCTGTAATCTTGGTGCTGGCCAGGTAGGAAGAGGAGGATCCCTGGGCTTCACTGGCTACCCAGTCTCAGCCAATCGAAAAGTTCTATGTTCAGTGAAAGACCCTGTCTCAAAAAAAAAAAAAATGCATAACTAAAGTATGTTGGAGAGTTATTGGGGGAAGATATCTAATATTGACATCTGGCAGTACATGCACACACACACACAAACACACATTCATACATATACATAAACACATACAAATGTATGCACACACAAATAAATTTGTAACTCTGAAAGCTTATTATGTTTGTTAATTTGTCATACTTAAAAATTAAGAATGATTCTAAAAGTTCCTTTCTGATGTGTATCTACATCATCATTTGTATCTTGAGCTACACATGGACACACAAATAATCACACACTCATACTTTAGTTTTCTCAGTAAATGTGAGAGGGTATGGATGAGAAATGTGGTGTGCTTTAACAGACAATAAGATGTACACAAACTACAAAGTTCTAGTGAAATCTGAGATTTCTGTTTAATATTTGCAACAATTCTCCCTTTCTGAAGCCGATTAGCGCACTTTTCCATAATGCATCAGTTTAGAGTGACATCTATAAAAATGTGTCTTGCCAGTTTGTTCCCTCTGAAATTTTTATTTCTTATCCCATCTGGCTTTGCAAATACATAAAATCTATGTGTTGCATCACATTATTTTAAAGTGGCTTCCAATGACATTCACTGCCTGGAAGCGTGGCTTAACTGTTACAGCATCTGATGCACATGGCTTCTTCAGTTCTCCTCCCATCAAGCCACCCATCTTTGGTTCTAACTGTTGCTTTTCATCATCTGTGGAGCAGTCTGCTCCATTTTCCCTCCGTCTGTTCATGCTTAGGCAAGCTCACTGTTGAGCAATCGTATTGCTTGCTATTGCCAAAACAGGTTTTATTTTATGTAATTTCACACAGCTGAACTGCTCCCCTGACAGTAGCCCTCCCACTAGAACCGAGCTCATCAAGCTCACTGGAAAAAAACAGTGAAGGACATATAGCCAAGCCTCTAAGAGGTGGCATCAGGAAAAAAAGAAATGCCCTTAAAGCACATGTGTCTGCTTGCTTATCCCTCAGGACTAAACAGAGTAGAGGTGATGAATGATCACCTATAGTTTTGACCCAGTAATAAATTAAATTATTTTTTTTAATTTAAATGTAGCTAGGAAGATGAGCTTAAATAAAAGCAGTATATGACTAGTCCTATTGGAGGCTGTGAAGTAGTGATGTGGTGCTCTAAGGGAGTCCTGCTGAATTCTTGCATGAATATCAACTCAAGGTCAGCATGGTTTCATTTGTTTGGTGGGTTTTTCTTTGTGTTTATTTTTATTGGTTTTGTGTTCTTCCTTTTTTTTTTTTTGCTTTTGACAGAGGATGGAAGTGTTAGCTCTTTGTATGCATTGTACTCTGTAGCTTTCAAATTTATTTCATGACATATTTCAGGAATTTAGCAAATGTTTAGCAACTTTGAAAGAATATAATAATGCATGAATCTTTGGTTGTAATTAGGACATTTAAGGAAAAATTTTTAAAGATAAATTTGTTCTCTGAGAATGAGAAAGACTTCACATTATTTGTTTTCTTAAAAGATAAGGTGAAAACTCTGAAATGAGTTGAAAATTATGTCACTGCTATTTGAAATTTTTCTCTTTTTCTTTGTCAGTGGTACATCTGAAGATGATGATAGAGTCTGTGTCATTTGTTCTAAATTTACTCTTACATAGTTAAAATTTTGTGTGGTTTTGTTCAAATGAAAATATAACTCTAAAAAAATAAACCAACAATAATATGTAGCCCATAAAATGATCATTGGACACTTCATGAGATCCAACAACTTTCCAGTAGATCACAGAAGAAAATAATATTTCCATGGATTCAGACTCATATTTTTATAATAAGTGCCCACAAAACTGGGAGGAAGCACAAAAAACACAGCAGGAATGTTCTTTGGGAAGAGAATGTCCCAGTAGAGTGCTGTCTTACCCACTTGGCCTATTTACCCAGAGGAAATGAGCTAAGGGGGCCTGATGTACCCAATGCATTATTCATTAGAGTAAAAACTTCATCACTGTCTCAGCCAAAGCAGCATCAACCAACAGTCTGCCTTCCATTCTCTGCCATTCTTTACAAGGGAACAACAGAAAATTATCAATCATTCCTATAGAGAGAATATGAGAAGTACCTTACATATGATAAAGTTATGGGATATTGCTTATAAAATAGATTGCTAGGATTGAATAAAATATGTAATGGATGTTAAGTTTTAAATGTAAAGTGTCACCTGAAGGGTCATGTGTTTGAAACACTTGGTTCTCAGTTGGCAGTGCCGTTTGTGGGAGATTGTGCAACCTTTCCAACACAAAGTTTAGCTAGCAGATATACAGCACAAGGGGCAGACCTTGAGGATTATAGTCTAGACACATTGAGATGTTGCTTCATGATTAACCACAATAGGAATAAACTACAAAGCTTTGCTGCTACACTATGATCTCCAGCCTTACCAGCTGTAAACCAAAGTAAATGCTTTCTCCATTAGGTTGCTTCTCTCAGGTATTTTCTCACACAGAGGAGGTAACTAATGCAGTGAACAGCTTGTTGTAATGAAAACAGATGACTGGGTAATATGGCACTAGTGCTCAATTTTTACTTTCTTTCTATATAGAGGACTTAGTGCTGTTGAGGTTAAGTTCCAGATTCCTCTTTCATGTAAGAACCATCTGATTTTTTTCTTAACACTGCATTCAGGAATTATAAAGGTCGTCATTCCCATGCTGGAATTTTTATGTAATGAATATAAATTTCCCACCATTTCTCTCTTGCTACTAAAGAGACCACAAAGGATATCAAACCACAAGTTGGAAAGAGTTGAACCCCTAAATTACCATGTGAAAGAAACCTGCTCCCTACCAATAACACCTAGATACAACTGCTAAGCTAGTGAGAAATAAATTTCATGACAATGTCATAATTAATATCTGTTTAGTTCAGAAACTAACATCATTCTATCTTATACAGTTGGATATTGACCCATCTGCCTGTGAAAATATAGATACAACAAAATCATCATCTAAAGTTTTCTTCTATGGAGGAGTTCTGGTAAATGAGAATTATAAACAGA